ACGCACTCATCCATCAGTCCGTCCGTGAGGAAAGTCTCATTCCACAGCACAACCACACTCCCACCGCTCACGTTTGCGCACACGCAACGACCACTTTTCCTTCCTGCTGTAGTGATATAGTTATGATTTAATCACATTAAAATTATCTCTGCAACTGCTGGTAATACCACGCAGGATTCCATGGACAAGTATTGTGATAATACCATGGTATTTCTTAGATAGACTGTCTTTGATGTAAATATCATGGTATGTGATTGTGGTTATTCTGTAATTCCATATGACAAAGTATCATAATATTTCCATCCTATAATGTACCATAATATCGCAAAAGACGTTTCTAATGCATTGCAAAACAGATTCTAAAACCACCACAACCCATTTACAGCCGCATTTTGGTCAATCTTTACCAGCAACCAGTAGCCCATCAAAAGCAGACGTTTGGAGAAATAGGTCTTTCGTCCGAACACATGCATTTATCTCCTCCAGACAGGTGTCTGCAAAGTTGCAATATAAAGGAGTTATCTTTGATCTAAAAAATAAGAAAAAATTTTTTTGCGGGTGTCACAGGAGGCAAGGTGACATCTGATGTTTTGGAAAGGGAAAAGGTTCCCGGCAGTTTCTTTTTACTGAACAGAACAGCCAGCCTTCTTTTACTAAACAACGAATCAGAGTTGAGGTTGGGTTAAGCGATGTCTGATATGACCCCAGCAGATGCTATTGCACCTTGTGGAACCATGTATGAAAGCTGCTATGGTTGCGCAGACAGTTTGAATTGTAACTGAACTCTGTCTCTCCTGCCAGAAACTGCATTTATCTCCTCACAATGACTCTTCCATCTGGATGAGAGACACATGAAGAGAGTGAGAGGTCCTGGATCAGAAAAACACTAACTCATTCTTAATTATTACTATTTTCCATTAAAATAGTGGAAATTATATTAAAAACTATATATATAAATATATTATTATTGTTGTTATTATTATTATTATTATTATTATTAAAATATTAATAATTTTAAAATAATTATAATCTGATATTCTGTCAGTTATTGTGATCAAAAAACACTGAAAAACACTGAAATTTTGGGTAATAATAATAACAATTATTACTGTTTTTGTTATTATTATTATTATTATTATTATTATATAAAATAATAGTTCTTGCAGCGAAGAAATATCACAACCAGGTGCAATCTGAGATGCTTTTTAAACAATATTGAAATATATTTTGCACACTTGTCCTCCACTATCTAGTCAAACCCATACACTTTTCAAAAAAATAAAAATTATTAGATTATTATTTATTTTGTAAAGAAATTCATATGTTGGACCAATTTATATTAATCTACAAAACTATCAAACTATCAAAACAAGCATTCAAACTTTTATGTGGTAGTATACAGAAATACATTGATAAAAAAAAAATCAAAACAATCATAGAAAACTGAAATCTGTTTTTCTTCCATGTAAGCCTGCAGACCAGATCCATGGCATTAGACAAAAAAACATTTATTATTTATTAGGAGAAAGTGTTTAAGCGCAGCTGAGAAGGAAGCAAGAGGCAGTGTCTCCGTCGCCAGTGTTAAATGCTCCCATTAATAGAAAAAAGACCTCCATGTCTGCTGGTATTTACGGAGGTTTGGAGCGAAGGCATTAGTGCTCAAAGCCCCTGTGCCACGATTAACAATCTCTCTCACTGTAAGACGCCCATGTTATCCTTCCAACGTTGTAGTTACGAGGGGAAAAGCTCTTTTTTGTCACCAAATCCTTAATTCTTTCTTCTCTGGAAAAAAAGAGGGTAATACAGAGAATGTTTCTCAATCTGCTTTGAGAGAGCAGGGGAGAGAAAAGGAAACCCCCAATAAAACATGTGTGAACGAAAGGGTAATTGTGGACAAATGCAGCATTGAAATTCATTTTCAACTCTTTACACACCATTTCAATCTTATTTTATGCTTGTTAGCCACATCTTGTTGGTGAGGGTCGGCAAGACTGCCCAGTATTGATGAATAATTGTGTATAATTCACTCCTTACATGCGATTTGCATCAATACGCATTATTTTTTAATGCTGGGTATTCAAGACAGCACCATTTCTGGAGAAAGTCACCCTAAATGCTCATTAATGGGGACCAAAGAGGCTAATTTTTGCAAAAACTCAACCACAGCAACACAAACCCAGACATGACACACAACAAGAGATTCAAACACTATAAGAAATTAGTGCAAAAACAAAGCAATTCCTGTCAAATAGCACCTACTCACTCTCATGTACCCAAATATATATTGTGCTATACTCTGACCAAAGCAACATAAATGTAACTTTTCTTGCTAATTATCTGATTTTGTTCTGAATTACGTCACATTAAAGTAAAAGCCATTTCATGCTGACAATTTCTGATATAAAAACAGCAAAGGTTTGGGAATAATTCTAATAATGTTTTCAGACTAGGAAAAACTAAGCAAACGAAGAAAAAAAAAACACTTTCGTTTCTCCATATCAGTGCAAAAATGATCTGTTTCCACACAAGCAGCGGATGCTAGCTTAACTCGACAACGTTCTTGATCTCTGAACCATGCTGGCGTTCATTCAGCGTGCCTTTCATCATTCTCACATTGGAAAGAGGCCTCTGCACTAACCTGCGGCGAAAGGCCGTTGCTCACGGGATTCATGTGGTTGCTTGAAGCTGATGGGCTCATAAAAGTTTCTGAATAGCTGGAGAAGGTGTGGCGGTTGGATGAGAGGCCGTAGGCAGAGCTACTGTCAGCCGAGAGCCCGCCCTGGTGCATGGAGGAGGGCGGCAGAGGCTGCGGCCGGTGCAAAGTACTGCTGCCATCTGAAACACAAACACAGAGAGCAAACTAGAGTGGCACTTTAGATTCTGAAACACATATTGACTATTAACTAAGAGTTTTGCCTCAGTAAAATAATTAATTTGCTGCTTATTAATAGTAGGGTAGTTGTAGTAGTAGTTATGTTTAGGTATTGGGTATGGTTGAGGGATTTAGAATATGGTCATGCATTAATATGTGCCTTTTAAGGAATAATAAACACCCAAAATGCTAGTAATATGCATGCTAATAAGCACCATATTAATAGTGAATAGTGTTCCCTAATCTAAAGTGTTGCCGATACTGGGATATTTTTACATCTGGTACTGTGGCAACACCATATGTGACCCTAGACCACAAAACCAGTCTTAAGTCGCTGGGGTATATTTGTAGCAATAGCCAAAAATACATTGTAAGGGTCAAAATTATTGATTTTTTCTTTATGCCAAAAATCATTAGGATATTAAGTAAAGATCATGTTCCATGAAGATATTTTGTAAATTTCCTACTGTAAATATATCAAAACTTAATTTTTGATTAGTAATGTGCATTGCTAAGAACTTCACTTGGACAACTTTAAAGGCGATTTTCTCAATATTTAGATTTTTTTGCACCCTCAGATTCCAGATTTGCAAATAGTTGTATCTCAGCCAAATATTGTCCTATCCTTCCATCAATGGAAAGCCTATTTATTAAGCTTTCAGGTGATTTATAAATCTCAATTTCGAAAAATGGACCCTTATGACTGGTTTTGTGGTCCAGGGTCACATATTGTTTTGGATATGCACCATGGTATTGCAATGAATATGGCACACATTCAGTATCATCTGATACCATTATACCAATAAAGCAGTACTGCTTTCGTTGTAAGCACATTGTTTTTGCATGGTTATATACCGTTCAAAAGAGTTGGTAAGATTTTATTTTATGTTTTTGAAAGATGTGTCTTAGACTCATTACATTTATTTGATCAAAACTACAGTACAAATAGTAATACTATGAGACATATACTAATACATACATACATACATACAATGTAATTTTTTTCTATTTAATATATTTAAATGTTTATTATATTCAAATGTTTTTATTATTATATCATATCATATCATATATATTTCTGTGATGTAAAGCTGAATTTTCAGCATCATTACTCTAGTCTTCTGGAGTTTATTATTAACAATTTATTATTTTTTTATTAACAATGTTGAAAACAGTTGTGCTGCTTAATATTTTTGTGGAAATTGTGATACATTTTTTTTCAGGATTTTTTGATGAAAGTTCAAAAGAAGAGCATTTATTAGAAATAAAAATCTTGTGGAACATTATAAATGTCTTTACTGTCAAGTGTTGATCAATGCATCCTTGCAAAAAAAAAAAATTTAAATGTTAGTGTGTATCTATAGAGGTTTATGGATTATTACTGTACAGTATACTACCTTGTGAGAGAGTGGTGCAGGGATACGTTGACTCTGGAAGCTGATAGGTGGATAAGGTTGGCATGCCGGTTGGTGGAAAGCCTCCGGGCAACAAGTGGTTGAATGCTGCCAACTGATTTGCTCCCGCTTGTTTGCGCCACCTTGCTCTTCGGTTGCTGAACCAGACCTAATAAAAGATGGAAATGCATAAAAAAAAAAAAAAAGGAGACTGACGATTGTGGAACACAAACACCCATTTCTAAGCAAGATTTCATCCACATGACATGTAGTTGAAAGCAATCAGCAGTCTTCCAGACAGATTCATGGGCATGTTTGTGGCAGAGAGCGTGTCCTCATGAGAAACTGCCTCTTGGCATATGCTGAGGTCCCTGTTGTTCTAGTTAAGTGGCTAAAGCTGTGATCTGTATAAACAGGCTGCTCTGAGCTGCCATCAGAGACGAGAGGTCGTAAACAGGTCAGAGGTAGCCCACACATCTCCTCCACAGACATCTTGAGTATGTTTGTCTACCTGTCGGACAATTTAAAGAGAGTCTAGAGGACTTTTACTGCAGCGGTGTTGTCTGAAACACACATATGGGCACATACACACACAGACATCTGTCACATCTTTAACATACTGCTTCATATCAAGCTATAATACTAACTGTTTGGTTTTACTAAATCAATGTAGATAAAATAAATGGACAATTGATTTAAAAAAAAAATGTGAGTTTCTATAAAAAGCACTTTATGGACAAAAACTTCCTTTTCTGTGTGGAAGTTTTTTAAACCTACCTGAAATTGGTTAAACTATTTGACTGTTCTTTACATTTTTAGACTTTTTTCCTCATTTGGGGTCATAAATGTGCATGTTTCGACATATACTGTATGTGTGTTTTGGAAAGGCTATACACATTTTGTGCCTATGATGGTGTTAGCCGTCAAACTGACCGCCACTGGTTTCCATGCAATTCATCAAAAATCATCATGAAGAGGGATGCAAAAAACAGACAAACGACAAAATTGGAAATGCATATCCAAATATCCAATATCAGATACACAAATTTATACACATCCATACAGCATGCTCATTTAAAGCAATAAATAATACTATATAGCAAATCTCAGCTGCCTGTTTTTTTTTTTTTTTTTTATTATTTCATGACATAAAATAATTATATTACCATGCAGCTCTTTATATAAAGTTAGATATTTAAGTCCACCTTTACCTGCCAACATATATTGCATAAGGTGATATATACTATATTTACATATATACAGTAGCAATTCTCAAAAGCTTGATTGCTTGTATTGTTGCAAAATGTAACTATATTATTGCCCAGTTCTAACGTGTTATCCACTATATTATAATGATTTTATCATGATTTTCCGTAAAGCTGCTTTGAAACAATGTGTACTGTGAAAAGCGCTACACAAATACATTTGACTTGTCTTGACTTTACTATTGTGTCAAAGACTAAAATATGAAATATATATTTGATCATTTAGGGTCAATTTGACCCTTTAACACAAATGGAGGACCTGTTTTATTAACAGCATGATTAAAGGTAAAGTGGGTAATTTTTCTATCATTAGAGGCACTAAAAAAAGAAAGATTCTCAGTTTACATTATTCAGGAAGTCACTCTTCAAATGGCTTTGTTACTTAAAAGGCAAAATGTGTCGCTTTTCAGTGTTAAAAAAAACTTTTTTGTTTAAGTCCAAAACAAATGTCCATTCAAAGCAGATTGATTTCAGACAGTCGTCTTAAAACGACAACAATTTGCACATTTTAAACCAGCTTCTCCGCCATCAAAACATGAATATAATTAGCGTCTCTGAAAGCAGCCCGCTCTATTCCACAGGAACAAGACCGGAGTCCTGTGTATGCGAAAGCTTGGAGGACATTGATCTATTCCATGCACTGGCAGTTCATCCGCGTTTAATACACTGTCAGGGCAGTTCATCTAGCGTTGTGTTTAAAACGGGCCAGTCCATTGTGTGTCCAGATGAAAGGTGGAGACAAAGGCCTCTCAATACACCAGGCTGAAAAGTGTCCACAAAGAGTGGGCGTCCCTTTTTAAACGTGCCTTTAAGAGCTCCACTTTCATGGTATGCACACAGGGACACACTCTATTCTGATGCAACGACACCGTAGACACACTCTACAAAACACACACACACACTCGCTGGCTCTTTCTTACAAAGCGTTGCTTACATTGTCCATGTGCAAAACTGTCAGGCCACTAACAGCTAGCATCTCATTCAGATCATTTCAATGGCTCGCCAACTTTCATGCGTCGGATTCGAATCTTTCTTTCTTATGCTCTCAGAAAGTGAAACCCCCACCCGACCGTCATCCTCTCAAAGGGTTTAGGAGGAGACGCTTCACCCCCTCTGCCTGTCTTGAGTCTGAACCTGGTGTAGCAGACAGATACAGGATGGTCTCGCGTCCTGAAGAAGCTCGGGGAACGCATGTGCTGGGATTCGAACGGTTCTCATACTGGGAATCGGACAAACAGGTTATGAAGAATGGAAGAAGGCTGTCCTTCCCCCACCAACCCAAAAGTGTCCCGCTCTGCTGTGCCTCCTGACCCTTGACCTCTGAACCCCACTCTTCATCCTTTCATCCTGATGGCCTTCTTTCTTCTGCCGCAAAGTTCAGATACTTACTTCTGTGACATCAGCGAGGAATATTTTATAGTTCGTAGCATTGTTTAGAGTTTCATTCAAGACACTACAGACAAAATCATTGTTTTTTCATGCACTGGTCAATTTTGAGATTTTGCTTCCATAATCATGTTTTCTTTTAGACTAGTTGAAAGGAAACACCCAAAATACACTTGTAAGTGTTTAGTTTATGTATTTGGATCTGTAAGTTTTAATTACAATCCATACTCTATGCAACACTTACACCAAACTTTACAGATATTCCCATCAATATTCTCAAGGTTTTTACAGAAGGGTTTGTTCATATAATATTTGTCTGATTTATATAACATTTTATTCTTAAAATATCATGTTTTTTTCTGTCTGTTGACAGTATTCTGATTTATGGCATGATAAAAAGAGATATAGAAAGTCCCCCCTTTAATATGACACAACAGGTGAATAGGTTAAAATAATAAGTATCACCATAGCTTTCCGTTTATTAATCACACTAGATTAATTGTTTTGTATTACAACTTTTCTAAAATGTTTTGTTTAAATATGCAAATAATGCATTGTCTAACTAAATATGCACTAATTTGCGTACATTTCCAGAACAGAAATATGAAGATTAGATAAAGTCAAGTTCAAAACACTTGTTTCATTTTGTTAACATATTAAAGTTTGGTCACACTTTATTTTAAGGTCCAGTTCTCACTAATAACTACAACTTTTGCCTCAATAAACTCCTAATTTTCTGCTTATTAATAGTTAGTAAAGTAGTTGTTCAGTTTGGGTATAGGGTAAGAATAAGGATGTAGAATATGGTCATGTAGAATATGTGCTTTATAAGTACTAATAAATGCTAGTAATATGCATGCTAATAAGCAACTAGTTAATAGCGAGAATTGTTCCCTATACTAAAGTGTTAACTAAAGTTTTTACAAAAATAATTTTTATCTCTTTTTATCACTCCATGTTTTTAGGGATAAAATATAATATAAATCGAATGATAAATGAACAAACCCCTCTGTAAAAAAACATCAAAATATAGAAGTGCTGAAGTGTAGATTTCTGGCTCAGCGCAGGAGATACAAAATTCATTTTGACAAAACAGGCTTTAAAGAATAGTATTGTAAATGAAATCTACAGGTGCAAACAGATAAAGTGTAATAAAATACTTAAAAGTGTATTTTGGATGTTTTCTTTCCACCAGTCTGAAAGAAGACATTATAGATGCAAAATACTAGCCCAAAATGTCAAAACTGACCAGTGCATGAAAATCAGTGTTTTTGCCTGTAGTGTCTTGCCTTAAGATTTTTTTTTTTTCTTAAGATGCTTGTGAAATCTTTAAGCAAAAGTTAATTTACTCTCGTCACTTCACAGAGACTTGGGTTGTGATTTTTTCTACAGGAACATTGTTCCTGGCTTGTTTCTTCTCTGGCTTTTTGCTTCATCTTTCATCCTCACACATAAACTGTGCACATGCATTACCACACAATCTGTAAGATGCGTAATGCTATGGCAATTCATAAAGAGATTTAGGATGCATCATTCTCAGCGAGCTGCCTGCATCCCGGATTGTGGTCAGAGCACTTACGACAGCCAGCAGATCTTGTGGCTTTACCATGTGCTCCCGTCTGCCTTAATCACAGCAGCAGCCTGTGAAGCATATCTGTCTAAGTGAATTTGCTGCTTTTGAAAGCAACGTGGCGTCACAGAGGTGCACGAGTTAACTCTATCAAGTTAAACATTAAGCCCAATATGCCTAAATAAATACAGTTCTGTTTTATAGCACAGAGGGATGCGTCATCATAGAGCCTTGCTGAGATTATTATGTGTGTGTTTTGTGAGTCGCTCCAGTCGTACCCTCTGAGCTGGATTTGGAACCCAATCACAAAGTCACCTTGAACAGTCCCAGATTCCCCTCTTGCTGTCTGCAATCCAGCCTAATTCCTCCACTGAGACGGTTTTCATCCAGCCCACACCAAAACCACTTCAGCGCCGTCCACTGACAGCAGTTCTTAGGGAGAAAGCTGAAACAATGGGGCCGATACAGGATAAACAGTTCGAAATAATGCTAAATAAATAAAAAATAATAATAAAAAAGTTCCGTTAATGCGGGATTATGCATTTGAATACATTTGCACGATTTTGTTTTTAAGGGACAGTTCACCCAAAAATGAAAATCATGCACTTTATTCTCCTTTATTTCATTCTAAACCTGTATAACTCTCATTCTGTGAACACAAAAAATATATTTTGAAATAATATCTGTCTTTTTTGTACTTTTTTCAGTGTCTTTTCTGACTTTCCTTACAGTGAAACTCGTCACATTCATTTATATAGCGTTTACATATTCTTTATATGCGCTTATTATTCTTATTCTTCATAGCGCTTTATATAATACATCTTTTTTGGTACTGCAGAAGAAAGTAAGTCATACAGGTTTGAAATGGCGAGTAAATGATTCTTTTTGAGTGCATAACCCCATTTTAATCAATCAAAGTTCAATAAATAGCTTCTGCACACCTCAAATCGTGAAGTGTGTGAGAAACTGTGTGTTTAGCTGATCATGTGTGCATTTGTTTCAATCATTAGACTATAAACCCAAAGACAGAGCATCGTCTGGGCTCAGGCCTGTCCCTGTGTCCAATGCAGGAATCTATGGAGATTTGTGTTTACTGCACACACCTGTCACGGATAAACAGGATAAACCTGTGTGCACACGCACAATGTTTCTTATTCCTGTCTTTTACGGGATGTTTCCTGCACCTCAAGTCCCTTGCTTGTGAGACCGCTGTGTACACCAAAACACATCCACACGTGTGCACTTAATAAGTCACTGCAAACAGTCGCCCGTAAATCCAGGATAGTGTTGGATACAACAACAGTCTCCACTCAAACCTGTTTCTTCTTAAGGAAAATGTTGTTAAGGGATACTTTTAAAAGTTTTCAGGCCATTCACCTCGTGTTTCAAAGGAATGAACATTAAACAAGGGCGACATCTGTTTTTATACCAACAAATGCGATTGAACCAACTTCAGTCTAACAAGCAATGTGTTGACTACATCAAACAAATCTTTTCTTCTGTGGCCCGCTTGAATTCTCTCGCTCTTTTTCTCTCTGTCTGTCGCTATGCTAATTAACATTAGTGGGAACGCGAATTGCAAAAAGGAGACTGGGATTACTTAGATAAGAATCAACGAACACAAAGCGTCTAAAAGAAAGTCATTTAAATTCTAATAATGCAAAACTGTTAGAACATTCTCACTGATGCATTGCAACAATTTTGCTCTCTACAGTCTTTATAAATCCTATTTATTCTTTTATGGTGCACAAGCTAAGACTCTCAGGAACAGATACAATATATTATATATATTGAAATGTATATATGTATTATAAAAACTGTAGAGAAACCATAAAGAGACAACATCAAAACATAACATCAAAGTGCATTAATAGTTAATTGTCCTGTCTTTCCCATTTAATTAGTCTATTTATTTTTCATACATTCTATGCACCTTATATGCTAAATATCTTCATGACCTACACAACCTCTACTTTATAGCTAGCATTACAATGCTAGCATTAAAACGCACAACTCCTAGGTACAGAACGGCTAACGTCCTGCCAAATTGATTTCTACGCTTCATAAAAGGGAAATATTTACACCTTATTAGATTCTGCTAACTATAATAGCTGCATGCTAAATGCACACTGCTTGTGAAAGGGGATCTATGTCAGAAAGGAGGAACATGAGCCAGCGGCGCGGCTCTCTTATGACTGCTAACTGAAGTGGAGCCTGCCGTAACCTCTTAAAAACGTCAAAATGAATAAGAACAGAATGCAATTCAATTCACCGGGGATGATTTATAACAACCACCAGCCTTTCTGCCGCTCTCCACTTGGTTGAAAATTCTCTCTTTGTTTCACCAAGCTAACACTTAGAACGGCCTGCAAACGTTTCTCATTCCACTAATGGTCTGAGTGGTGGCTCGACTTCCTCAGATGTCACATGGCATTTATGTGGTGCTCATTCACCTCATGGAAGTAAAGCAGCAGGACTATGAAGCCGCAGGGAGTAAGCCTCTGCAAGGCTACATAACATTTATTCTAAACCAAGACACATTCAGTAGTTAGATCTATCTATCTATCTATCTATCTATCTATCTATCGAATATATATACCTTTAAATTTCAAGGCATTTTAAATGTGTATTTAATTTCCGAAACACATTTAAAGTTTAGATAAAAAATCTAGTTCTAATTAATTACACTTGAATTTGAATTCTGCATCCTGTTTGTTACATCAGTTCAAATTCTGGAATTTAAAAGGCATTCTCAGTTTAATTTCAAATGGTTACAACCCTGCTCTCTATTTTACTTGCCATGCATATCATTGCCCCGAGACTGCAGAAGGAGGGCTGTCTAACATGCTCTGGAGTTGATGATCCAGGGGTGGAGAGGCCCCTCTTTTGGCCCCTGTCTCACCCCAGTGCCCTCTTCTCCACTCCCCACTAAACTGACATCTGCCGGATGAGTCTGCACAGCTGTGGCAGAGCAGGTCACCAACCCGGCCAAAGGTCTGATCTCACTCTGGCCTGGGAGGAATCTCTATACAGAAACCTGCCGACATACCCGAAGCCAAACCAGTGGGAACTTCTGTGAAACACCTCTAATGGTAGCTGCATGAAGAAGACCTGCATTCTTGCCATGAAACAGCATGCCATATTTTATTAGAACACTCGAAAAAGTCTCTGCCAAAGCAGCTGCCATAAATTGGCACGTACGAGCCATGGAATATCTTGTTGGGTCTCATGCCAAACTCGGACACCTCGTTGAATTAGTGTTTTGGGTGGGTTAAACGCATTATCAAGTACCCTTTAATGTCAGTCCAATGGAAGGTCAAAGTGTGAGCTATGATGAACTGCAATTTTATGAGTAAATCTATATGAGTACTATACCAGACTGACTCCTTTAACAGTTAAAAGTCAATGGCAAAACCACACATGAAATCCCCATTTGGAGGGGGCTGCTTTGGGGAGGGGATCGACTTTCACAATAGACTCTACAGAGAAATGCCACAATCCCCACTCAACACTAGACTGAGCAGCAAACAACACTGAAGACCTATGACCAATATTTACTGTGCTTAAGCAGAGTCACTTTCTCAGGGTGACCTTTTTGGAAGATTCGGTTTGAGTTGACCTTTGGAGATTTTCCAAAAGTGTTCCAGAAAAAGTGAAGTGTTTCAAGTGTTGAAGTGAATTAGATTATGAGAAAAATTGCATTAACAAATTATATCAATGGCTCAAAGACCTCAGCTTTTCACATGATATCCCTTTAAGCCCTATCATGCGAGAGGGGGAGATGTGTCCTTTTGGTTATTCAGCCTTGTTCAAGGTTTTTCTTCTGGTTCTATCTCTTGTCATTTACATCAGTTACCATAAATACGTCAAGAACCCCCAGGGGATTCTTGCTGGCCAAGAAATGAACAACTGACCTACAAATATGGCTCATTGGTTGCCATAACATGCTGGAACAGAAGATGCTTGTGTTTGACAACCATGTTGCTTTTCATTGAACAATTAGATATGTTTTTTTCACACCCTTGGTCTTATGCTTATTATTATCACAGTTAATATGAATGGTAGAGTTCTAGTTGTTTAACTCAGGGCTTTCCCTTTCTCCCTTTCAAAATCCCCAAGACACCTCTATCTTTTTAAATGCTGTTTAAGTAATAATGCATGCTTTTACATACACCCGAGCTTAGCAGACATAAAGCTACAATCAATTCAAATCGGTCTCCTAAATACATCATGTGTGAAATATTGCAAGAAAACAAGCATAGCATAAATCTCTCAAAATTCTCCCAAGAGTGTGGAAGCAACTATTTAAGACACATATGTCTTCTTCCTTGAATGCTCAGAGACAGACAAAGACATATGTTAAATCAGTTACCCCGTCGATGTGTATGTTCTGGTGCGGAACCTAAACATAGGTACCCGGGATCTACGGAGGGCGACATGAGGAGGAGAGTTTGGAGAAACCTAGACCCCCCTACCCCCACCTCGCCGAGTCTTTTACAAGCACTTGATTGATTAATGTTGTTGTCAGGGAACATAGTCCCCAGAGAGAAAGAGAGGGATCCTTTCTGATATGTAGAGGGATTTACAAGTAGCGGCCAGCTTTCAAGTGCTGGGAAGCGATCGCCGGCCAAGAGAAGAGATGAGAAATCCATCAGGAATGCATTTTGTCTGCTCTTCTTTCTTCCCTTCTCTTTTTCCCCCATCCCTCTTTTTGTCTCACACTAGCTCAGAGTGCAGCTGCTGCTATAATTCTACTGTATTTGCTTTGTGATGTTACATAAAACTACAGGGTTCACAAACTGTCAGGAAGCATCCCAAAGACTCTGGGTGAAAGTAATAGGGCAGAGCTCCAACTGTCATCTGACTGAGAGTGATGTACTCCCGAAGGTGAGGGGAGGTCAAACAATTAGTCTCCGCTGAATAAATAAATATAACAAACATCAGCAATAAACAGAGGCATCTGGATGACAAGAGAAGAAACAACTCCAAAAGGAGTTCTAAAAGCCAATCAGATAGTTAAACTCAATACATTCAGTTGCAAACCCGTACAGGGGAAGTACAGATATCTGTGCAAGTGAGCTTATCCCACCTGTACACGAGCCTCGGTCAGTTTGGCCCTCTGTGCGAGCTCCTCTCTAGTGTAGATGTCGGGGTAGTGTGTCCTCTCAAAGGCCTTCTCGAGCTCCTCCAGCTGCTCCGCCGTGAAGGTGGTACGGCTGCGTCTCTGTTTCCTTTTCAGGGGCAGGTCTGGCTCCGACTCCACATCCGAACCGTCGTCCGTACGGTTACCTGCATACACAGTTTGGAAATAAGTCTTTGAGAGGCTTTGAACATCAGCACCAAGTCTCTGAGGCTTTAAAAAATGGCAAGTTATTTTAAAAAATTTGATATGTACAGCAATTGAAAATCTCAGCTGTCACCAGTAGAGCAGCATACCACGAATTTGTCAAGAGAAAATGATCCTGAAAGCAGAGACCAGCTATCACGGCGATATTAATGCTTCCGTTATCTCGACGTGTCAATGGAGCCCTAGATACCGTTTTATTGGGTCTTATTCATATGTGAGAAGTCTTCAGACACATAATCCTGCCACTGAGCCCTGGAGAGGCCTGGGGGACGTAACTGTGAGGGTTAGGGTAATCTACACCAGACACCTTGCTCTAGCACGTCCGCCTTATTCTCTCTGTAGCGGCCTGGGGCTAGCTCCTAAGAGCAAGTGTTTGAAATAAGAATGTATGAGACTTCTGGGCCATTGAATCCCTCTCTTTGTGTTTCAAGCTAGTGTTCGAAATATATTACAACATATTTTACATTACTTTTTTTCAGGCATGCAGTCAAAGACAAGTGCAGATCGCAGTTGGCAGTTTGCATTTTAGCCAGAGGAGTATTTCCCCGGCACAAAGACGAACACTACTACGACCGAGCCAAGAGAAGCGTTTGTAAAGAGAGATATGGAGTGCGTTAAGATATATTACTGAAATACATTACCATGATAATTGATTATAAAATTGCATCATACTTTATTTGTGAGCCACCTCTGTATATCTATTCATGGCAGCAGTGAATAGAAAAGGTCCTGTCACAAAAATCACACTTTTACATTTGCTTTCTTAAAACGCATGAGTGCTAACAAGCAGCGTAGTGTGAGTCTTGCTCCAGGCCCTTTGGTCTTGCATCATCCACGGGGGAAAGACAGAAAGAAGGGCTCCGATCTCCTTCCCCCGCAACACCACAGCTGCCACTGTGGAGACAAATCTCCTTTGAGCCATCATTCGCACTCTCTGCCCACTGCTGATCAGCAGGTTCCTGCACCCTGGACCACTTCACACGAGTTTTCCTGCATCTCCGTTTTCTTCTGCCAGACCGGAGCCTGATCATCTCTCTCAAACCCCCATTTGTCAGGCCTCTTCTGTGGCTGATAGGCTGCCAGGAAAAGAGGTTACAAAAAGGCCTGTGGGAGTGCGCTAGTGTGTGTATATTAGTATGTGCATGGGCGTGCGAGTATGTCCATTCGTATCGGCGAATGCATTCTTCTTGGTGCATGTGCAAGTATTGGGTGCACTTGAAAACGACAATAGGGCATGCAAGTATGTTGGGTATCAACAAATGCAGTCTTCTTGGTGCATGTTGAAGTCCATGGAAAAGACAAAACAAACTACTGTAGGACATTCTTCCTGGTGCATGTCAATTCTGGTGCACCAAATACATGCACAACAGAAGAAAAAACTGCAAATTATCAATAAAAAGAACCAAACTCTGGCCGTGCAATTATGTTAGTGCATACTTGCGCATCAACAAATGCATTCTTGTTGGTGCATGTGGAAGTTCATGGAAATTATGAATATAAAAGACAAAACAAACTAGGGTCTTGTTCATTTACAAATGCATTCTTGTTGGTGCATGTGCAAGTATTTGGCGCAACTACATCAACAATAGAAGAAAAACTCCCTTCTGCAATGCAACCGCTTCAAGACGAACCAAACTGCTGCAGTCTCCAGACCAGCTCAGGAGTTTAATTAAACAAGGAATTAGCGGATTATATGGAGACTATCATTACAGACCACTCGAGCAGTCTTCACAGAATGTCTTTTTGTCTCCCCAAGCTCTGGCTCAACGATTCTCAATGGATTACATGCGACCGCAGGACATGAGTCCGCATTCATTAAATCAATTCCTCCATCTTCCACCTTTAATAAAGATTGATTTTTTTTTTACAACACTGCCTGGCACTCCAGCACACGAAGAAAATCTTGAATATACAAAGTTGAATATGTACATATCCTGGATATCCCTTTGTTGGTTTTCATGAGGATGTGCCAGAGCAATTTGTTGCTAACACACCATGACAACACTTGAGACTGGCACAGTGGTCTACGGATCACTTTCCAAAGTCACCTCGGCGTCCTGAGGGGGAGGGAAAGACGTGCCGCTGTGATTTTTGTTTCATTGCACAGTTTCGCCACATGATTCATGAGGCAAGATTCTGTCAGCGTATCCTGCGCTTGCGTCTCTTGACGCATCAAAGCCTTTTCACTTTTAATTACAAAGTACTGTAACCATATCAAATCCCGCCACAGGTCTTTTGTATTGAAATATTTCACAAAACACAAGTAATAAATGGGCAAAACTCAGAAACAAAACTCAGGTTGTTGTTGCCGTCTCACAAGCTCTAGCTCAGCCGTCTTGCGAGCCCAAGACTGAAGGTCAACAGGCCCCCTGACAACAGCAAAGGATTATGGTAATGAAACAGATGCTGGCAGAGATAGAGCAGTGAGAGGGGCATGATACAGGCCTCGTCTCTGTCC